ACAACATTTTTTATTGCCAAAAATAGTACAACTCCAAAAGGTCCAAACCACAGTGTACCACGCTCAGAATGAAATGACCTGACCTTTGACGCAACTTGAAATCCCCCCCATCTTGCTCATACCAAGAAAGTCCAATTTTAATTCCATCCCTCAGGCCTAGCTACTGTCATCAGCCAAACAAGGACCTCTTTCTCCTCTGGTTTTCTTAGTTTCCAATGTTGTCATCATCCACGGCTGTTGAAGTTGAAGTTGAAGTTGAAGTTGAAGAAGAGGAAGAAGAACCCACAAACCTCCTCAACCGAGTTTCATCTTCCTCTTCCTCAAAATCGTCTTCTTCATCGCCATCCTTGTTGATTCCCAGAACCATGGAGGAAGTTTGGAGAAACATAAATTTGGGTTCAATCCAAAACTACTCTGCAAACCCCAGACGACAGAGCATCATCCCTCACAACCCAAATTTTATCGTGCAGGATTTCTTTGCCCGATCCGACCCACCCACGAGTGCTCACGGACAGCCCACTCTGTTCCCGTCTCTGGTGCTGCCACCTCCGGCTACCGTTTTGAGCCTGAACTCCGGTCCCGGATTCGATTTTCTGGAGAACTCGCGGTTGCGGAGCAACTTCATTCCGAATTCGACGTCCAGCTGTAATTGTCTCTTCAGGGCTCTGACCTCGTCTACTAGTTTGGGTTCTCTTGGAAAGAGAAGGGCGCAGGATTCCGATAACGATTCCGGCGAGGAGCGGCACAAGAAGTTAATCAAGAGCAGGGAATCAGCAGCCCGGTCCAGAGCTAAAAAAAAGGAAACACATCGTTTTTCCATTTCTGTATCAGAAAACTTCTCTTTTATGTAGATTCTAAAATTGGATTCTGTACCTTTTCTTACAGGCTTACACAAAAGATTTGGAATCCGAAGTGCAGAAACTGAAGAAAGAGAATGCAAGACTCAAAAGACTGCAAGAACAGGTAATAACCTTTGCAAAATACTAAAATAAATTAAAAAAAAAAAAGACATGAACAGAATCTAAGAAAAACAGTGAGGGAATGTTTCCATATTTAGATTGAATGTTGAAGGGTTTCATTTTCATTTTTTAAAAATATAATTAATTGATAAAATTTTATATTTATGTTTAATTTATCACTATTCAAATAAAATTTTTTATTAAAATTTTTTTTAATTATTTTTAAAAATCAAAATAAACATATTAAATATCATTTTTTTAAAAATGCACAACTAAAATAATTTTAAAATTAGAAATTAGCTCTTCTAATGTTCATACAAGGTAATATGTAGAAAACATTAACACTGTTTGCAAACAATACGTGGTTCAATTGAGAGTTGAGAATTTGAAACACTCGAGAAGGGATTTGAGAAAAGAAGGTTCTTGCCACTCTCTTGCCATATATAAGAAGGAATTAAGGGAAAATGAGAAGGTTTTTGTAATAAAATTATATAAATAATAAAGAAAAGTTTTAAATATTATTAATAAATTAATATAAAATTTTAATAAAAATACTAAAATAGTTTTATTGTCAGTAAGAACACTTTGAATGTCAACCCCTGCAAATCATGCAAGTGTTTCATGTATTAACTCAGTGTTTTTGGGCAGTTACGTAAAGCAGCAGCCGCACAGGTGAACAAGGAGCACAAACTTGAGCGGACATCAACAGCTCCATTCTGAGGAAATTATCTTCCCTTTTTAATGATGGATTTTGAATGGTGTAAATCTGGGAGTTTTCTAGATTAGCAAAAATGGGTGATTTTGGGAAAAGGAACTGGAGCCTTGTGTGGAAAAACCTTTTTTGAGTTGGTGGGTCATTATTTTTTGTTTCATTTGTGCTTGAACTGATTAGTCATTACCATTTCATTGGACCCGAAATGATCTCAAAGAGATAGTTACTGACACTTTGTGTTCTTCGGTGGCCTCATCGCCGGTGGAGACTCTCTATGCCTTACTCCTTGTCATCGTCTATTGGACTAACCCTCCTCTTAACCTTATATTTACACTTCTGTTTTGTTCGTCTTCTTATAGAAATCAACTTACGAGCATTTTCGTTGCACTTGCAGTTCTAGTTGCATTAGTTGAAGTCCATCAAAATTTTAACAAATGTTAAAGAGTTTTATTTGCTTTATTAGTAATTATCTCCTTCCCTTAAAATTTACTGTGTTCAAAAAGAAAAGAAAAAAAAAAAAAAGCAGTATATTCATTGGTGTTTGATCAATGAATGATGTAAATTTAGCAGACAAAACTATGGGAGGTGTCAGCTGGGAGAAAATGTTGATAATGATATAAATTATGTGAATTTTTATTTTGAACTAGCGGTAATTCTTTAATTTTTAAATAAAAATAAAAATTTTATTATTTTTTGTTCAAAAAGGAAAAAAAAAAGGCAGTGGATTCATTGGTCTTTGATCAATGAATGATGTAAATTTAGCAGACAAAACTATGGGAGGTGTCAGCTGGGAGAAAATGTTGATAATGATATATATTTTTTATATTTTTATGCGAGAATATAAATTATTTGAATTTTTATTTTTGAACTAGCGGTAATTCTTTAATTTTTAAATAAAAATAAAAATTTTATTATTTTTTATTTAAAAATTTATTAAATGATGATA